GTACAAATCCCAGTTGAATGATTTTCCTGAATTTATTGTGAGGGGTGGGTATACTGAACTCATATGCCTTAAATGTGCATATGCATAACATTTATAGCCCAGTTTGAAAGAGGGGAAAAGAGCCCAAAAAGTCAATACCAAAGAATGCTCACTTATTCAGATTATTAGTGCTGCGTGACTATTCAGACATGTTTACTTGTAACAGGACAAAATCACCATCCCAAGTTGAACAGGGTCAAGACTCAGGTCCAAGAGCTACTACTGAGCCTTCAGAGCTGTTACACACTCAGAAAGATTTGGAGCTATGCTTTGACCCAAGCCAGGAGCCGTCTCTTGACACAGTGGAGGACAAGATCAAACAAGGGACCACAACAACCAGTCTGCCTTTGGCAGAATTCAGCCACCCTGTTGGGTAGGTGTGTGGACACAAGCAGAGCCATGGCATAGCTGGCTTCAGAGGCAGAAAAATCTTCCTGAAATTTACATTTACATTTACTAATAGCCACTGTTTCTGGAGAACAATGCTGTCTTCTGTCATGAGCTGTGTGAGTGCAAGGGGAACAGTAAGAAAACATAGCCTCATATAGCCTACTTCTTGCTGTGCAGATGCCTTCCTGTGTTCACCCCATGTTGCAGCCTCCCTAATGTCTTAGAAAACCATAAAACTCTGAGTCACAAAGGCAGGCATCAAAAGAGTATATGATGGGATAACACTAAGTCATTCAGGGAGATGGATCACTGCTATGAAAATGAAGGGAGAAGAGGGTAAGTATTAGTATAAAGGAGCTTCATTTGAACCACTTTTACTCTTTAGCTCAGATCAATGACAAAACTTTTGTTTCTCCTCATTGTAAGGATGCATGAATGTTGAGATAAGGCTTTTCACAGAAAGAGATTGAGATCTCCTAAATATCCTCTAACAGATAAAAACATGATTGTATGAACTTTAGTTACCACCTCGCCTATAACATCCCTGTAACACATATTTTTTAGAAAACTAAAGGGAGAAAACCAAGTGTTCAGTCCTTAACATATCAGTATAAGTCCATATCTTGGGAATTTGTATGGAAAACTGACATTTGCTGGATAAATACTATATCGTTTTCCTATGCAGACACTAAATAATTAGAGGAAGAAAGGGGAAAGAGTTGACTGCATTCCTTTACTGTGTGATACAACAGAAAGACAGAGCTGAGCACATTACACTGAGGTGGCATCCACCCCTACATCCTGCTTAGTTTCTAAAAAAATTTATAATTTCCATATATTACTTATGATGTCCATATAAAAATTCTTAGGAGAAAAGGCCTCTTCTCCTGCATTATTACATTTTTATGCAGTGATAATTACTGAATTGACAGAATGGAGTAGAGATGGATTGCAGTGTGGGCAGGCTGGAGAGTATCTCTAAGGTAATATCAAGTATGAGGTATGAAAGACAGGTTCCTTGAGCCAGAACTAGTTGGACTTCTTATTTGTGGTATTTTATCTTTTGATTGTCACTTTGGATTTTAAAACCAAGTAGTAGACGAATTTTTTTTCAGGAATGAACAAACTCAACAATCTCTCCCTTATGTTTTTCCTTGATAGTGTATAAAATACAAGATACCCAAAACTATTTCTTTTGTTCCAGTAGTTATTATGTTAGCACGTTTTAATTAATGTTAGCATAATTTTAATCTTCTGCCAAACTACCGTTTCCTCCTTTGAAAACCCTACTTGTTTGAAGAACAGAAAATTATTTGCATTTAAGATTGTTGCCAGTAAGTCCATTCATTAATAAACTTTGAAAGCATTTAGTTAGGGCCAGACAAACTTGCACTTAGTCTTGCAAGTAATCAGAGTAGGTAACACACAACATAGGTTCAAATCTGCCCCCAAATAAATAATTCCATGTACCAAATAACAAAGATTTACTAGTAATTAACTGAAATGCAAATTATTGAAATAGTTACAAGAATAAGTGGTATTCTGCTTGAATAGGTAGGAAACTCTGGCCCCTTTAAGTGTCAGCATAGCAGCAAAGAACTAAGCAGGCAATATAAATTAGTGAACCATAGCCAGAATTATTAAGGCAAAATTGATTTTTAAAGCTGCTGAAAATAAATCTTAATAGCTATGTATACCACTGAATTTAGCAAATTTCTCTGATAGAATACATTGATAGATCTAGTCCACTTCACTGCCAGATGTTACTGAAATTATTTCAGGATCTATAAGCAAGAGCAGTGCATGCATAATCACAGGTTGTCAAAGATTTGGCAGCCACTCTCATCTTTGCTTCATTGCTTTGCATGGTTCCCATTTGTCATTTAGTGTCACAAACCTTCAAGCATGAGAGATTAGAGCACTTCAGCTAACATGCTGCTACAATGGTTTAAATAAGGAGCAGAAACTCACTTTCTAAATGTAGTCCTTACAGAGAGACAAGGAAGATTACTCATGAATGCCTAACAGAGTTGATTAACAGGTATGTTTCCAAGACTCATCTCCTTAAATTAGATCTAAAAAGTGCAAAAAGCATCACATCCTTATCAATTAAGCTAATCCATTTATTAAAATTCTATCTTGAAATGAATATAAACCCATTTAAGGATTATGATTGTACCCTTCTTTCATTCTACTTTCTCTTTAACTTATCATTAAAGTCTTTTATGTCTCTGATTAGTTTTGAACCCATTAATTACAGGGCACTGACTGAAAGAAACTGCCTCTGCAAATAAGTAGCTAGAAAGACATTTTTCTTTTAAGGCAAAATCCAAAATGAAAAAGATAAAAGAAATATTTGATTCAGTTGTTTTAATTTCTCTAAGGACACTGTTAAAACAAAAGAAAAAAATTAAATGCTCTTCTTTTAAGGATAGGCTCTTGTATTTTAGAATGCAGCTTCTAAGATCATCTATAAGGATTTTTTTAAAGCAAACATATACCATAATTTATTAAAGGAGAATCCGTTGTTTATGATTTTAAAATTGACAAACTCTCTTGTATAGACAAAACAAACAGAACTCACTCATGTTAGCCTACAAACATATTCATGCATACCAGAATTTGCTGTCCTGAGTTTGTATCTTGCTCTGCAAGGGATGGCTGCAGATCACTGCGATACTATAGCGTTTCAACAGATGGTGAATGCTTTTATTTCTTTTTTTTCTACTTCCAATTGTGTTATTACTCCTACAAATTGTATGCAAGGCTATGCTAAGTTTATTGTGATTATGCCAGGCGTCCTCATATCTTCTGTATCATTTTGTTTATTTCTCTTGTCCTTCTCTCTTACCATTAGACTAAACTCATCAACAGTCATCATAAGCTTGTTCTTCTCCTCTGTTCTTTCCACATGAAAGTACTTGTCAAAAATACGAATTGCTTGCTTCTCATAATAAAAAGGAAGCTAGACTTTAATGCCTTTCACAGCATCTTTACATAAAAACTATTCAAATCATTATCAAACTTGGTCATTCAGCCATGCTGAATTTACTGCCATTTCTCTTACAGGTCTGTATGCTTGGTAATTTGAAATATTGTATACAGTGACACTGATCTTTGTTCTAAATTCACTGGTATTAACCATAATTTTCAGAAGATGTTCTAATTTAGTGTGTTATACATAAGTGTTATCATGTCCCTTTTTTTTTTTTGCATAGCATCTATATTGAACCACTGCTTATGCTTTAGGTACAAAATAATACATTATAGAAATAAAAAAAAAAATAAATAACAATGAGTCAAAAGGCTTTTACTGTGTTACAAACTTCATTGGTGTTTATATCAGGCAGACAAATAAACTGGTGGATAACTCCATTAATCGTAAAAATAATTGTTCTGATTCTATAAGACCTTTAAAAGTCAGAGTGATGATCATCATTTCTCTCCTCTTCTGTTGTTTCCTTATCTGAGTAGAGTTTTATACTTAACTGAGCTCTACTGATTTTTGCAGAAATCAGATGCACTGCAGTTTTGCAGTGGTAAATTTTGAAAGGGAAACTACCTTAGGAAAAGAGGAATAGATTTTATTTGAATTATGACATACTGTGGATACAGACACACATATGTGTAGATATGTATATATATGTATATATATTATTCTGAATTCAAAATAAGTACTATGTATAAATAGAAAATGAGTAAAATATGCAAGCTGCATGTAGAGTTTTCATGTTAGAGGAATAGATGAGTATTTCAAGCTCTTATTCACAAGTGTCCTAGTTAGGACAGCTGAGACCAGTTCATCATGGTATGGGTGTAACCCAAAACTGTGTATTCTATGGCCTTCCATGCCATTTCCCAGAAACTGTTGTCAGTAGAGGCCTGCGAGATAGGAAGATGTTCCTGCCCTCATACCCTTTTATGGAATTCCCCACTCTGAGGGAAGGACTGAGCATTCCTGACTGAAATGGAGAATATATAAACTTGGAGTTTTGGAACCTTTTTACCACTCGTGGGATCCAGAGGAAGACTGCAGCTCACCGCTCTCAGCCAGACTGAGACCACCACCCTCAACCAGACTGCAATCACCACTCTTGACCAGACTGCAACAGCACTCTCACCAACAGGTCTTCCCCTCACTTTTTTTTCCCTTTGGACTCAGGGGGGCCCCAAAGAACACCACTCTGTTCATGCCCCAAGGTGCTGGGTTATATATTTGGGTTTTGTGGGTTAAAACCAATTGTTTGTCTGTATAATTGTACTTATTGTATTATTTTATTAAATTGTTATTCTGACTTATAATCTCTCTTTTGAGTTGAGTTCATTTCCCCTGAAGTTTACCTTTAAACCAGCACAAGTTAAAGATATTTTGGCATACTGTGTAACATCTTTTTAAAACTAAAGGATCTGTACAGCTTTGAAGAGAGCTGGAATACTGTAGTTAATTTATCTTAAAGAAAAATGATGTAATTCAATAATGCAATTACAACTTTGTACATAAAAGGAATAACATGGAATTAAATGGGCAAATAATTAGTGGATCAAAACTCAGAGGAAAAGAATGGACTCACTTTGGGGAACTTTGGAGGCCACTCTCTCATCACAAGCACAGCAGCTCTCACAGTTTTTCTAAGAAGGTGCAGATGAAATGTGTGCTATGAAATAAAGTCAGAAGAAAAATAATAACCTGCAATACAATAGACAAGAAATAGGAATGTATTTCCTGCACTATACCACTATAAAAAAACTGGTATATTTGGATAAAAGACTCTAGAACTTCTTGTGTTCATCACTCTTGGAAATTAAGATCTCAAACCTGCAGGTGTGCAGTCATAGCTAGAGGGGAGTAACAGCTAGGAATTTGCCAAGAATGCTAAATGCCATGTGAAAATAATCCAGTTTGCTCAGCCACTGTGAGGATCTTCAGCTTCTACCTATGCTATTTAAAGTGAAAGAGATTCCTTTTACTGTAGTACTCATAACACATATAGGTGACATCATGGAGGGCATATCTTAAGAAATGTTTATCCACATTATTTCACTTTCCTTACCAATTAGCTTTATGTTGCTTTCATGTACTTCTCCTACAAAAGAGAGAGTTTCTGTCACCTCTCATCACCTCAAGAGCATTTTCAACAAGTCAGAGAAAGTGATCCCTCCCATCTGCTCAGCACTGGTAAGAGTTATCTTGAAAGCTGAGCCCAGCTCTGGGTTCCCTGGTCAATGAGACATGGGCACACTGGAGTGAGTCCAGCAAAGGACCTCAAAGATGATGAAGAGACTTAAATATCCCTCATACGAAGAAAGGCTGAGAGAGCTGGGACTGTTAGGCCCGGAAAAGAGAAGGTTCAGGAGCAATCTTAGCAATATATATGAATACCTGATGAGGGGACATACAGAAGTTGGAGCCTGACTCCTCTCACTGATGCCCATTGAAGGACAAGAGGCAAAGGGTGCCAACTGAAACACAGAAAATTCTGTTTAAATGAAAGAATGAAACTATTTACCATAAAGGTGGCCAAAGACCAAAACAGGTTGCCCAGAGATGTTGTAGTATCTCCATCCTAGGAGTTATCCAAATACTGACTGAAGCCAGTCCTAGGCAACTCAGGTTTTGTGATAAAAGCTCATCTGAACCCAAAAAGGCCCCCAAGCATGTGGGGAAATTCAAATGGTACCTTGCTTTGGCTGCTCCAAGGTCATCACAGGAGTGTGATCAGCCCATCACGGGTCCAGCTCAACAAATCCAGAGAAGCAGAAGAGCACAAAGGCAGGCAGGAACCCAAACTAAGGACTTAGAAGAAAGGACACTCTGGCTAGGCCCTTCCCAGTGCTTTCCCAACAGAACCTCAGCCCAAGTGTCTGGTCATGAAACCCATAAAAAGGAGTCAACAGTAGAGCTGGACTTTGGAAGTAAGGAGGGTTGCTGCCCTGGGATATGGGGCACATTATGGGGTGCAGGGGAAGAGCATTTTGGAGATTGTAGAAGATTTATTGTAGGATATTTAGGAGGAGGAACAGAAGTGGGGAAAGGTATGGATGTAATTACCTTCACAGATTTCCAGAATATTCTGACTTGGAAGAGACCCATAAGGATCATCAAGTCCAGCTCTTAAGTGAATGGCCTCTACTGGGGTCAAACCCACAACCTTGGTGTTATTAGCACCATGCTAACCAACTGAGCTACTTTGTAGAGGAATAAGGGGAAAATCTCTTTCCTCTATGTGAGTATGCAGAGAGGAGTGTCTGTGGTGCTAGAAGCTCAAGTTAGATGTTAGGTTGGAACAGCCATGTGTCTGTGACACCAGCAACTGGAGAGACTGGATTGAGTGAAACCGTGCAACAGTCTCTGTAGTGGGACCAGGGTCAGAAGCCCTGATGTCCATTGTGTCAGTGACTGGAGTGAGTGCAGGTCTATGAGTGAGTATGTGATCATTAACAAAGATGAAGCTGCACTAGTTGGCAAGCAGGTGAAGTAACTTGGGAGCCAGGTGTGTCTCTAAAGGTGAGACAATGGGGCAGTTGGCTCGTGGGTAGCAAAAGTGCCTCTTCCAGCTTCCAGAGAGTGGTGCAACTCTGTATGTCTCTGTGTGGAAGTGTCCATAGGAGTAATGGCACATGGAGAAAAAAAGGATTCAGGGGCAGCTACTGGAAAGGCTGTCTGAGCCCAGCTGCTGGAAGAATCTACCAAGAACATACGCATATATGTATTTTGTACTAATAGGTATGCATCCTACTCAGCTAGAGAGGGAATGGGATGTTGGTGGCATGTTTGTCTATGTGAGTATGGACTGTGCCTGTGTTATCTGTCTAGTCATCCACCTATATATCCATATATGTGGTAGATGTGTGTGTTTGTGTGTGCCTATTGGGGATATGTGTTCAGCCTTGCTACTGGCTGGACCTCTAGACATGGATCTGAAGCATGCTTGCTTCCTCAGCTGCAGGAAATGAAAAACGAAGTTCAACTTTTTGTTGCAGCTTTTGCCTCTTCAGGGACTCAAGAGGCATTTGGATTTGGTGGCCCTGAAGGAAGATACCTCCTGGCAGCTTTTCCTGTCTTCGGTGGAGTTCCTGCAAGTCCTGTGGAGCAAAAGGCTTAGACAGAAAGTGTGATACCCCATGGCTTGTTAGACAGCCGGCAGTCATCCATAGCAGTGCCACTGGGTGGGGCTGGGGATGCCAACTCTACTGTTGCAGTGTTAGACAAGTGTGCAGGGACAAGGGAGACAAAACTGATGACGTCTCACCCATGCTGTCCCTTGGGATCAGTCCTAGTGTGAATGACATATCTTCATGTATCGTAATTGAAAAAGAGAAAAAAATCATGAAGACAAAACTGCTTTTGTGGTACAGCATCCCTAGTACACACATTTTTCTTAGAACAGGGTCTTTTTTCTTCTAAAGAAAAAACAAAAAAATTTGTCTGTCTACAGAGTTCTCTGTCTACACATGGTGTGACTATATGTTGTATCATTACCACAGTCTCTGAACACCCCATGGATTTTTAACATTTTTACATAAAAATGTATTTGTCCCCATGCTGGAAATAATCTTTTTCTTCCTACGTTAACCTCCCTGTTAATTTTCTTATACACTCCCACTCACAATACTCATCCACATAGTTCTTTTGTTGTTTTTCCGTATAGTCATTATTTCACTGTGCTCTTATACGTAGCTCATTTGCGTGGTACGACTTCCAGGTCTTATCTGTGAGACTCATACCTATTCCTCATTAAACATCATTCTGAGACCTATTGTTGCAGCATGCTGCCTACAAAGGAATTAATGTTATTCAAAACACTACTATTAAACGTTTAATATTAGATCTCAAATAATCAGTTTCTTATTTTCTAATCTTTACGTGTTTGTCTACTTGCACTTCAACACAGAATTCTCAAGAATGACTCCTTCTGAACAGTAAGTTCCAAACAGATGGGAATCAGAACTAAATATGGAGAGCTGTGGTAGAGAAAATGGAATTCAGATCTGTATTGAACCATCAGAACCTTGTGGTAATGCTGGAATTTGTCCTATCTTCTACTTTAAGGAAGTTCATTGGATTTTCATCTTTATTATACATTGTGTTTGTATGAAATTTAACATTGTGTTCTATGAACAAACTGTTAACTGTAACAATGAGAAATAATGGGATAAAGTCTGAATTTCTCATTTGTGAAGATGAGGTCCAAACTCACTTTTAAAAGAGTGATTTCAAGATTGGAAAGTATTTCACTGAATTAGTGAAGGAAGTTCATTGTCACAGTCTTACTAATAATGTTCCCATAGAACACAGAAACACTTGCTTATATATGTATTTAATTATATTGCACCTATAAGAATAGAGATCTTGAACAAAATTAACAAATTAAAGGGATGTTTTATACGGATGTATTTTTCTTGCATTACCTCTTGACTGCTATTCAAATCTGACAAAATCAGATTACAGTCGTCTCCCGTGGTAGCAAATGGCCTGTTTTAGAAGTCTGCTTGAGGATGAGACTGACGGAAGTTCCACTTTATAAGTGCTTACAGCAAAGGACATGCAGACAATTAGCTCAGATACAAACCTCTGCTATGTACTAGCAACCTGCCTTTGGTAACATGAATGTCTTGTAGTCTAGCAGAAGAAAATATTTGACTTTTCCCTCCAGTTAGGGTAATTAAATTTCTACTTTCTCTAAAACATAAAGCTGGTGAGATCATATTTCTAAGCCTATATCAAGCCAGATTTTTGCATAATTGTGTATTTGTAGAGCTGTGAAATAAGCTCCACTACCCTCATTTGTATCCTACACCTTCAGAGCTTCGCTATCCACCCTAGTACACTGTTTATTCATATTTGACCTCATATCCACTAGAAAATGCTTGAAGTCAAATCTTATACTGATGTGTCTGAACAGCTGGGGGAAACTTTTCACATTGTTGAACTAGAAGGGTCCAGATCTCTGGTGCTCTTACAAGCTGCACTGAACACTTAAGGCAGATACACTTTTATCTGACCCCCTGGGTCAGCTATCTGCAATCCATTTGGATATGTGTGTGTTCATCTTGTTCATATGTGTGTGTTCATCACAGTTCATCTTGTTCTAAAAATCAGATAAATTCTAATCTATAAGTGCTTATTTCTCTCTCCTCACTACAAAAGAAGTTCTAGTAATTACCTCTGAAATATTCATCTCTAGTGGGGACATCTAAAGACAGAAATCCACTCAAATTTGGCCTAATCTTTAAACAAAACCAATGCCCCTCCTATTTAATTACTTCATTTGAGCTCACTATTCAGGTAATCATTACTGATGTCAAATAAATGTGCTACATCAGCATTTATGGACTTACTGTGAGCTTTGAATGGATACAAAGCTGATCACCTGCAGCTCAGAGTTATTTACACTTCTCATGATATTTTGAACTTTAGCTAAAGGGAACATCTCCTTTTGATCTCCAACTTCTTTTAAACTTAAAGTAATATCACAAAACTTTATATTAGCAGTATCATGGCATATTTGTTGAATGAATTTTGTGGACATTACCATTGTATGCATCTCTAAATCAGCTTTCAGCCAAATCTTAAGATGACATTCCTGCCTCAGCTATACAATGTATGTAACATACCATATATTGGAATTCTCTCTGCCTCCCTCAGATAATCTCATGAACATTTCTACTTTTTCAGACAACAAAACTGTAAATGACAGGGTGATATCAGCAATATTACAAAGATCTCTGGGTAGATCATGCCTTCTGAGGCATTGATTGCTATGTTTATTTCATCTTCATCTCCACGATCAAAATTACAGTGACAGAGCCCGTGTGTGACATTTGACAATATCGTGACATGCTACGTGAAAAGTTGTGTTTCGGCTGAAGTTATGTAAGGCTGAAAAGAAGTATACCTTGAATTACATTCTCATTAGCTCTGTTTTCTAAGGTCTGAGTTTTGCTTTCTTAGAAATTACCATGTAGGTCAGTGTTTACTTCAGTTCAATATTTTCAGTTCAATATTTTCAGTTCAAAATTCTCCCGGAGCAAAATTAAAGAAGTTGTCAGCTATTTTTATCAATCCATCTTTTTGTGTCCCAGTGAAGATATTAATATAATTAAACCATGAATAGAAGTAGCCTATGGCCTTTGAAACCTTACAATATTAATTGGAAGAGGTGGCCTATAATTTGATTTCTGAATTACTAACACAAAAGGTACTCCTTTTTAGATTTTCTGATTTCACTCTAACTTTTTTCCCTATTTTTTTTCTTCTTTCTTTTTCCCTTACCTTCTAGGACACTGAGGAGCCAGTTTAATAGCTACTAGTTGGAATTATTTCAGTACTTGCTGTTTGGAGTGCTAGCTGCAACGGAAAAGGATGGATTTTTCTATGCAGTACTGAAATATTTTGAATTTTAGTACTCTGTAATTTATTCCCTCCCAACTGACATTAGAAAACAAGAAAAAGATTTCGTTTATTTTATAAAGGAAATATGCGTGGAAAATATGCAATTCATTTTGTAGTAAGTGTGGGTAAAAGGGATGATAAACCTGTGGATACTGAAGCTAAATGTCATTGAAATGAGCAATACCTTAAAATAATAACTTTTTGAGGATTTACAATAGTTGGTATCATCAAAGGATGAATTAACGATGGATTATTTCATTTTTGCTCCTCTTTTTGTTCATCATCATAATAAAGACATAGCAGTTACAACCCTCCTTAAAAAACTAGACAGAAGATCATCAATTTAAAAAAACAAACAGTAAAGATGAGGCACAAACAACAGATGTTTCTACTTCTTTAGGAAAATTATTTCAACTTCCATATGTTGTATTTCATTATATTTTCTAAATATCTTATAAAAATGGGATGAGTATTTGTGAACTTCAGTAGAGGGTTTTCACTGAATATAATAGATTGATTTATTCAATTTAATTACCAAGTTTTATATACAATCTGAGGAAAGCATTATTTCATTACCATTCAAAGAAAACCCAGTAAACCCACAAATATTTCCAAGTCTGCAGTGCATTCAAACCAATGAGTGACTAACTGATTTTACAACTTTTATTCTAGATGGTATCAAAAGATCTGGGAATTTGAAAAACAGTAGTAAAACTTGTTCAGTGGTTTAAGTCCTTAATGGCTTAAGCCCTAACATGAGGTCAGCATCCTCCATTAAGTCTTTCAATAATGCTAGAGTGGCAGCTGAAGCAAGTCCAAGCACTGATGAAAGATCCACGGGCTCCACGCCAGCGGTCTCTGCCTGGCCCCAG